GACCTTAGTGAAATGGGTAAACGGGAAAAGGAAAAAAATGCATAAGCAAGAGCAGAAGTACTTCAAATCTATATTCATGTTCAGTTTATATTTTAGTATTATGCCATAACACCATGTAAACTATCTTGCAGATAATTGACCTGGCAACCTTGACTGGGGCCTGTGTTGTTGCTCTTGGGCCATCAATTGCTGGTAAATTCATGCTGCGGTTTGCGGGTTTTTAAGATTTTGAATAAATATTACTAATCGGATAATTTATTTCTGAATATTTTACTGGTTGGAACATGGTTGGATGCCTATATGCGGCCACGAGAGGGGAAGGGAAGGGGGGTACTAGGGGGAATGATTTCATTTACTTGTCAATGAGACACAAGAACACAATAAGCATATTTTTGTAATGAGTGTTTTTGGTTGGAGCAGAGGTAAGTCTGAATGACTTTGCACATAAAGCATATATATGGGAATATATCAGGAATCCATGGAATTGTGGATGAGGTTACACGCCCGGTTTGGTTTTGTCCTGGCTGTAAAAAAATGGAAAATGAGAAATTGCCAAGCTCTTTTCTAATTTGTACCCTCTATAATTCGTTGCAATTAATGATGGTTGTTTACTCTTCTTTGTTAGGTGCCTTTACACCTAGTGATGACCTGGCAAAGGAGGTTTTTGCAGCCTCAGAGGTCACTGGAGAAAAATTTTGGAGGTTGCCATTGGAGGACAGTTACTGGGAATCAATGAAATCTGGAGTGGCTGATATGGTCAACACTGGTGGCCGTCAGGGTGGTGCTATTACTGCAGCTCTGTTCTTGAAACAGGTATATACTGCTCAAAATTTCTCAACTCTATTTCTTGGATTTCAATTGTCTACATATTCTGCTTGTTCTTTCCCTCTCATATATATATGTATGTATGAAGTACCGAATCAAACATTTGTAGTAACTTACTAGACTGATCAAATGATTGTCAGTGAGGCTGTTGACACATTCACTTATCTACAATTTATGACCTATCCTAAAACTGCATTCAGCAATGTTCTCCCACTTTTATGTAGCATGTTACAGGAATATGGGCGTGTATTAATAATACATTTACATATACATCTATTCATATGTGTGTTCTCTTCCCTTGTACATGGAGTTATCAGCTGATTCTAAAACTTATTAACCATGCTTTCGCAGTTTGTTGATGAAAAGGTTCAATGGATGCACATTGACTTAGCCGGCCCTGTGTGGAATGAGAAGAAGCGTTCAGCAACAGGTTTCGGAATTGCAACTCTTGTGGAGTGGGTTCTGAAGAACTCTTCATCGTAAGAGTACAGGTGATAGTTGTTGTGAAATAAATCCCCTTACCATAATAAATTTATTTGAGGGAAAAGTAGATAGCACGAGTCGGGGCGGATTTGTTTGCCAGTTGTTACTCCAAATTAGAAGAACTTGCTATTCAGCTGTGAACAAAACCTGAAACTTGGCTTTTCATTTATGCAATCTTCGGTATGCTTTTGAATCTTCGATTCAATGGTTGTTACAGTAATGCCTACCAAAATTCACACTCGGCAGTAATCCGATAACTACGCAATGTTTGATTTCTGTATAGAGTGACTGAATTGCCATAGAATAGTGTAGAAAATGGCATGGTAATTTAGAGAAGCTGTAGAATTTCTGGTGATATCATGTTGGGAAATATAACCAGAGGACATGAAAACAGGCTGCAAAAGGACTTACTGGCTTTTAAGCTGAATTGTTGTTTGAGCTTTTATTTCACGTTTCTTTTTCCAGATCAATTTTGTTGGGTGAAGCCAACAACGTAGTATGTCAACTGAAACAGGGCAGTGGGTCCCACAATTTTTGTCCTTTTCTTTCTAATTTTATTATTAGCTGTCTACTATGATTTCTTTTTGAAAAAAAAATTAAAAATTTATATTAGAAATTCATGATCTCTTATAAAATAAAAAATAATTAAATATATAAATTAATTAATTAATTAATAATTTGATCATAAATAAGATGTGTATTTTTTAAAAAGTGAAATTTATAAATTCATGAGATTTATATTTTTATTTTAAAAATAAACGAAATATATATAAATAGTGGAATTTTATTTTATTTAATAAAAAATGAGTGTTTCGTAAAAATTTGGTTGTATTTTGAAATGTTTGGTAAAATTATAAAAAAAATGAGAAATGCACAAAAATTTAGTTTTTTTTTAGTAAGCATATATATATATATTAAAAAATATAAAAAATTATATTTTATTGCATTCAATGAAAATCAATATATTTTAATCCAACGGTTATTTATATTAATATATATTATATTATATTAAAATGATATTTCGACAAATAAAAAATATATAATTTGAATTAAATATAAAATTTACTCTAAATTATAATATTCTTTTTTAATTTTATCTATTTTATATTATATATTAATTATGCGATATAAAACTAAACCTATTGGGTTTCAAACCCAAAACATACATGGGCCGAAAGTACGAGCAAAAAGACCAAAAAACCCAAGCCCCAAACTCACTTCGTGCCTGCACATCCTTAAAGTAGTCACGTTGTTTGACCTCGCACGTGCGCGGTCAAAACCCACCGTAAAGATTAAAAATAATATTTAAAAAAATTTCTTCACACGTGCGCGATTTCAGAGTTCAGACATCTACTGCCATAGTTGGAAGACCCCCGTCTTCCCTCTTTTTTCTGCTCATGTTTCTCCAAATACAAAATCTCCCTGGCACATCACTGGCTTCCATTTTCGCCTTAGTATTAAGCTGACAAGGTTAGAATATACCATTACTGTTTCTCAAGATTTTTTCCTTCCTAATGCACTCTCTGATCAATGGACGATGATCATGCGGTCTTCTCTACTGCTTTCTGAAGACACAAGTGTTTAAGAGTGGAGATTTGGGGGGAGAGAGAAAATGAGTGTTTCTTTGACTGTGATGACTTTCAATCTTCATGAAGATCAACCGGAAGATAGCCCGAATTCATGGGAGAAGAGGAGGGATTTGTGTCTCAGTGTCATCACCAGCTACTCCCTATCATCCTCTGTACTCAACAAGGTGTCTTGCTCTATCGATTTTATATGTTTTTTGTTCGTGCATATGCAAATTTCTATGGATCTTAGGTTTATCATAGTTTGTTTATCTCAAATTGGTGATCCGAGTCTCTCTTGATTTTTTGCTTTGGAGGTGGTTTTTTTTTCTTCTTTTGAGGAGTAATGAAGTTTTGTGGTTAATTTTTTGGCAAGTGATCTGGAAATTTTTCTAAACTTGGTTTGAGGTTTTAAGAGTGGTTACTGTGCTTCGGAATAGTCTTTTGAAGAGTGTTGAGATCGGTTCAAGTTTTTTTCGTGCTCTTAAGCAACTTGTTTTCCTCTAGATATTTGCATTGGATGTGTTTAAAGTAAGACTAGCATAGGCTTTTGGTCCTCTTGATTTTGATATTCTGTTTCTCTGGTTCAGGCGTAAAATCACAACTGGATTTTCTTCAGCAGGGTTTGCCAGGTGAAGTAATCTGATGTTTATTTATTATAATTATTTGTTCTTTAACAAGAACTAAAAACTCTAAATTGAATGATCTCTGAATTGTCAAACCTAAAGCAAGAAGGTTTTTAGCTTTAACCGTTGTTTGAATGTAGACTTTGATTCTTAAAACATTCTTGATCTTAAATTTTTCCAGGCTTAGATGGGTCTAAGTTTTGGATTTGTCCATTTTGTTGTATGTAGCTAGTCATGAATTTTCCGAAAGAGAAATCTCTATTGCAGTATATGCTCAGTTTTTATCTTATTATGGTAATTTCAACTATCCGTTCCTCAAACAGTTTCAGCCATCTGTTTTTGTTCAGGTTAAGAATCTTCACTACCTACCACAAGGTTAAAAAAGTTTACAAACTAGTGGATGCTTTTTCTTTGAATTGTGAGAGATTGGATTTTGTTTTGATAACTTTTATCAATTAAATAGAGTAGTTAGGATAGTTCTAATGTGCTTAAATGAATAAACTACGGAACACAATCCAGTCCCCTACCTTAACCCTCCCAGTCAGGTGTAAGCAAGATTGAATGTTACATCCTCGTATACTACAAATGACAAGAAGTGATTTTATCAGGCAAGCTAATTAATGATAAATACAACATATTTTAGTTAAATAAATGGACATTTTTTTGTTTGCAGCAAAGGCCTGGGACTATGACTTCTTCAAACTATCCCGGGCTTTGTTATTCAAATCATACAATTTTAAAGAGAGAAGAATGAGATTATAGTGCTCAAGAAGAATGGGGAATTCCATGACTATTTGAGACTCATTTATTACATGGCAAAATGAGTGGGATATAAGGGCAAAATGTTTGGGGGAGAAAAATCGCACTTTACTTGATTACCATAAGTAGCTTGACTATTATTCTTCTGGGGCCTACATGCCGGTAATTTCTGTTTTTCCCTTTCTTTGAATATCTAATCGAAGCTGTGAATTCTGGAAGATGATGTCTGCATATTTGAGAATGAATGGTGACATACATCTATCAAGTTTTAGGAAACCTAAGTATCTAATAAGTACCATAACATTTAGGGATGTAACAGCTGAACAACAAAGGTTGTTTGCAGTCTATGAGGGAAGAAACTGACTTCATAGGGCTTTCACTTCTCTCTATTACACCCATAAAAATAAGCAGATATCAGACTCTAAGATCGGTCCAGATAATTGCTAATATGTTTACCGAGTGAATAATTGTATACTAGCAACGGCATTATGATGTTTCTTTTGTGAGAAGAAAAAGGGAATCATGTTTTAGGTATCTTACAGAAGCCTGAGAGTTACTTGGTTGCTTGATTAGGAGGCTTTGGTGGTCTTAATTTTTTCACTTAGGCTTTGTCCAATTTCTTTGGTACACTGTGTCTATGGTAAATGAATTACAAAGGAAAACAAATAAATTCATTTGCAAATCACATTTTTACGTATAGAATGTCGATTAAAGTATGTATTTGCAATGGAAATCCATACTTTTTTTGTGGAATTCGTCTGTTCCAAAGACAGTTTCTGTAACTTTTCTTTTAACTTTTTTTCCTTTAAAATAAACCTCTCATTTCTGACTATTGTATGTCTGCTGCAAAAGGGATATGAAATGAAATGTTACTAATTTTATGTTTATTTCACATGTTTCGATGAGGTTGATTTATTAGTTTTTATGAGAAGATGGTTTTATTGTTCTCCTATGATATTTTTCCAGATTTTGGGTTCTTGAATATGTTGGTATTAGAAAGGAAATCCTTTTATTTCCAGATGAAATGCTGGCTCGATGGGTCTTCTGGTCTTGGCAGGGTAATAAGCATAGGAAAAAGCGCATCTCTCTCATCTCCTTGGCTACTATTTGGGTCATTGGGATGGAACAAATAGAAGGGCCTTCAGGGACTTGATTTCTCATTTTAGTAGAGTTAGGGATCAATTGTTTCAGACAAGTGATTTTTTGCTTTAAGGGAAAGTCTTTTCTTTCAATGAGGATTTGGGGGGACCTAATCGATATTTTAACTAATTTGTTGAGCTTTTGTATCCGGGTGATATTCTCTTGGTACTCTGATGATATGTCTTTTCCTTTTTCTTCTCAAAAAATTTACTGAATATGGAATTTTCTTCTGACTGGTTCTTTTGAATCCTCAAGGTTATAATCAGTTTGGAATATCAAGAAAAGGATCCCAAGATATTTCTGATGAACATTGCACAATCTTCTATGACAAGGAAAAGGTATCATATTAGTTCTTACATTCTATCTGTAAGTGCTTTCAATCTTTCTGAGGTTAACAAATATGGGCGCAATGCCCTGATCTAATAGCAATTTCTTACTAATGAAGGTAGAGCTGATAGAGGGTGGAACTTTTTGGTTGTCGGAGTCTCCTTCTGTCCCTGGAAGCACAGCATGGGGTTCTGTAGTTCCATGTATTGCAACATGGGCGATATCCTTCATATCTTGCTTGACAAACTAAAATTGTTCTTGTGGATTCTTTATTGTTGTTGCTCTATTATGATTTAGTTTCTTTGACACAATGCCCACACATTTCAACTAAAAGGAGTTGAGCCACCAGGTTTCTCATTTCAGATAGTGAATACAAACATGGATGAATTTAGTCCTCGTGCCCGTAGACGAAGTGCTTTACTCACATGGCAACACATTGCTTCCTTACCTCCTAGCTTGCCTGTTGTATATTGCGGAGGATTCAACGCCCAAAAGGAATCAACCACGGGCCGCTTTCTACTTGGAAGATCAAGGTATTCTTCAAAAGAATATTATTTAAGTACTTGTTATAATTAGTTCTTTGTTGGGTGTCATTGAAATACCATGTTCATATTTCCTGCTTGGAATTTGGTTCATAAATTTATTAGGTTGAATTAGTTGGCTATTACAAAGAGATAAAATGGCAGGAAATTTAGAACAGGATTTCACAAAATGATTTTTTGGTCTCGTTTTTCTTATGCTCAGAGTGATTTTATTTTTGTCTATGAATTAGTGTAATGATTGTCCGAAAAACTTCCTTTTCCATTTTTTTATTCTCAGTTTTTGATATGCTATTTTGTTCTGGTCCTTGTCATATTCACCTCACCGGCTCAGTGCAAAATGAAACGAACTTCAACGATTCTAAAATTTTAGGGAACTTAAATGCCTCGTAGAGAGAGCAGTCATGTTATCTTGCAGTTACCCTGAAAAGTGAAGTAGAGCAAAGATATTTTCCTCCTTGTTGAGTCTGTCTTCATCTAAAAACTACCTTATCAGTCGTTCCTTGACAGAATTGCCCTTTTTTTTCTGCCAAGTTTCCGGAATATTATCTCTCTTCATCTCTTCCTTGTAGATCAAAATCAGAATCCAATTCCGTTCCTGTTCAAAGATTTCTTGTACTTGCTCATTTTGTAACTCCGCCTTTTTTAACATTTCTCATTTTATCAAGAAGAATAATATGGTTTAGGAATTATACTTTTTGAAGTTGGGCTGCTCACAAGTGGCTGACTAGATGCCTCTTGGTTGTTATCCATACATGCCTGCAGGGAACACGGTGTGATAGGAGACATGAGGGATGCATGGCCCAGTGCACGAGTGAGGAAAAACGTTTCCCTAATACGCACTTATCATGGATTTAAAGGTATTCTTTTTACCATGTCTACAGGGTTACGATATGTGATGTTCCCATTCTCATATATTTGTCTGTTAATTTCCAGGTGACAAGCAGGGAGCCATTGAATTTTTAAAATTGATTCTCAGAGCACTCTGCCTCTGCTGGGACCGTCAGACGCAGGATCTACACGTAGATTGGGTTCTTTTCAGAGGCAGATCTCTGATTCCCGTTTTGTGTGAAGTTGTGAGTGATAACATTGATGGGTTCTATCCTTCCTCTCATTATCCTCTATTTGCCGAGTTTATGCTTCCTCGCACAGTGAGAATGCTCGAACCACCTAGTCACACACAAGAGGAAAACTAGCATGCCGATTTTTGTTCACCCTCTTCTTGTTTTCCCTTCTTGAAAGTTTTGGGTATATTTGCTTGGTGGTTTAATTGTTGTTTGTGGGAATGGCTGTTAGGCAGGAGGATCCTTCGCCTGGGAAGAAGGTTTTCATTCCTCAGCATATAAAAAGCCGATTACAAAAAAGAATAGAGGCATTTAAAAACCGATACCCATTTGTTTTAAACTTACTGCATTTGGAATTTATTTTGTCATGGCTATTTCCCAATAAGGTTTTTGTGTAAAAGGGAAATATCTGCTTGCAATAATGTTTTCGTGATTGGTGATCCGTTGGTTTTGATTAGAGAAAGGAGAAGGTGGGAGAGTGAGTGGCAAAAGAGTATTTTTTGCCTGTTGTGACATCAAAACAGATTACTGATTGGTAAGAAACTACTCTGTAATCCACCATGTGATTTTTGATTTTGTTGCTCGGATGATAATGGTAAAAGTTTGTGCTTTACATTTTCAAGATCAGTAGTATTTTAGCAGCTCTGTATCAAATTCTATCAATCGAATCACTTTTTCAAGAAGAATGCAGGTGGAATTCTTAGACTTGATTGTTCCATTCATTGCAGATTTATAACCTCTCACTTTTCTCTTGGACTAGTCTGTTCAGGTCAACTCTTTTCTTGAATTCTTCTGAACAGAGGATTGGTTTTTTAGTCTTTTTTTTTTTTGAATTGGCATTAGTGGGTGAAATGTATTATCACGCCAAATTTTTACAAATTTACAATTTTAACTAGCAGTAAATTGCAAGGCAAGACTGACATTTTATATATATATATATATATATATTTATTCAATACATTGCCGGTAATTATGCATGAGTGCTTATACAGGAGTGCCTCCGGCAGGTCCTCGTAGGGATTGATATAATACGGCCCACTTTGATCTTGCAAGCTGTGGTGGTGTGTCACTCTCAGTCTCATCTCACCCCTCCATCACATTGTTTGGTATGCCATTTTCAATCCACCGCCAACTATAGAACACATAAATACACTTTTGTTTCTGGTTGATCTGTGATATCTTTTATATATATATATATATGTATATATATATACATATATATATATATATATAGACACACACACACACACACACACAAAGCAAATACTTTTACATATAAAATATTACGTGTATCACTTAGAAATATATAGTAAATATATATACATGGATATGTCATAATTTTTGAGGTACCATAATTTTTATTCCATAAATTATGTTTTATATGTGAGACACGTTTTCTCTTATGAGGTGTACCGACGAATATGGAATTATATATACACATATATATATGTATATATACAATGATGATGATTATGATTATTATCATGGTTGTAATTAATGCTTTATAAATATTTTGGGCTTGTATATATATATATATGTTGACACTTTATATTTATTGTAAGGTATAATTAATTTATTATATAGAAAAATAAAATTCAATGGTATAATAATGGGCCCTCATTAAATTATTATTATTATTATTATTTAAATTTAAATTAGGTGCTAGACCATAAATTTCTAGCACCTAATTTAAATTAAATTCTCGAATTATTTTATTTAATTTACATTATTTTATATAGTATAAATGCGTTGTAACAAAATATTTTAAGTTTATATATTACGAATTGATACTTTATGCTAAAATTAAAGTTTTTTAAAATTGAAATTAAAATTAACAAAGATTATCAGTGGAAGATTTTATAATTATTGTGTGATTAAACTAAATTAGTCAGAGTAATTATTTTATTTTTATGGGGATTGAAATCTAAAAAGTAAGAAACCAAAACAGAAAAATTAAAATAAAATAAATACAAAGTTGAAAGTTGACTCACCGAGTCACTGGTATTTACTTTTTTACCCTCCGATGGAAAGAAAAAAAAGTTGGTCATCATTCGACGCATGGTCAAAACATACGATCTAAGGATTTCTAAAGATCGGACGGCAGAGAATGGTTCTGATCAGTCGAAAGAGAGGTCCGGGAAATTCCCAGATCGCAAATGTATGTGAATGCGAGCGCTTTCTTATTAAAGAAAGAAAACCCAACCTCCTCGCAAACCATTACCAGAGAGGGAAGAAGAGAGAGGAGAAGAGAAGAGAAGAGAAAGTGGGATAGTCGGATCTAGATCCTGAAAAGGTTATGGCGGGTCGGAGAGGGCCAGTTTCTTTCCACATTTGGATATCTGTTTGTGCTTTACTCTTCCTCAATGCTTATTGCTTCTATCTCCCTGGTGTTGCACCTGAAGATTTCCAAAAGGTAGGTTATACGTATACGTGTAGATGATTCATATCTATGTGTATGTAAAAGTGAGCTCTGTTCATGCATGTCTCGGCAGGTTAAATTATTTAGGGGCTAGATCATTTATGATTTTTTCGTAATTTGACCTATTTCTGGTGAAAATGGTTCAGATCTGAGTTGAGTATCGCATTTGATATGCCGGAGTTTTTTTTTTCTGATTCTTTTTCTCGTTTAGCTTCGGTTTGTTACTCTGCAACTGCATGGTTTCTTGGTTAGGTTGGGGTGATTGAGATCTACGCCATGGTTATTGGCTTCATTTCTGATGTGGTCGAAACCGCGTTCTTTTGGTGCATCGTGAGCTTAGCCAGATTATAATTTGAAGTGCGTTTTTTTTGGTTGCTTCATTTTCTTAATTTGATTTTGCTTCAAATCGAGTTCGATGTCGATGGTTGCTCTGTAATAATTCCTTTATGGTAATGCTTAAGTGTACTGATAATGTCTAGGAAGGAGATCATCTTGACACCCACGAGATCACAGAGTTTCTACCTTGACATTTTGAGAAGCATTCAATAAATCTGAAACCCTTAGAAGAAAATTGTTTTCCTGCCTTTTAGTTTTTGGAAGTGAACCTTAGATGATAATATGGAAGTTTATCTTGCTCGGTATAGCAGAAACTGATGTTTTGTTTGGTCATCTTGTATGCTTCTGAGAGATTTTGCATATTTTGTTAGCTAAAAGCTCGAGGGGCGAGGAATTAATATGAAATCTTGATTCAAGCTTTATCCTCCTCAAAGTTACCCTCTGTGGCCTGTAACATAATATGCTTAATTTAAGGCTGCAAAGTCTGCTCCAACCTAATGATAAGTTGTCCTAAAATTGATAGGTTAAGGTCGGTGCAAGTGAATCTGCTCTAGATCAATTCTTTTATTCATATGC